GATATACTAACTTCAGCACGAGATTTTCTATTATTGATAACTATAACGAATTGCAATCAATTCAGAGTCCATATTGTCTGACCCAATTATTGAGTGACATTTTTTGCACCCCTTCTGAATAATCAAATCGAAATCAATAGGGCTCAACTTTCCCCAACGCGTCCTTTTGTTGTATACATTTTCGGGGTAAAATAGAACGATTGGAAATAATTAATGATCCGAGTGTCAAAGTTGAAATTTACATTTATGGGATTCGATGTAGATATCGTTAAAACATCACCGGTAGGTATAGGTTTTCAAAATTTCAGGTCAAAATTCGTTGGTCATAAAAACAAATTTAACACTACGCCAATCCAGGAAATACCAAAATACAGACGGATAAAAACTAAATGAACATCAACATCAAGAAATTGTGAGATTCTAGGAATGATTGGGATTCTTCCCGATCTGACGATTTATTTTCGTATACTTTGGTTAATGTTACATTTCCGTTTTAAGGAACTAAAAAGCCGTTGGGCGCCAATTTCAGCGTGCAACAAAAAACAACAACACGACCAAAACAAATCAAATGTTTATCTGATTTTAGTAGCAAGATCGTACACACTGTAAAAACGAAACACGGTTGTTGTTAAAACAATCGGGAACTTGCGATTCGTAAGTTGTAAGCATCAAAATGAGTGGCACGTTACATCACGAACTGTTACTACGACTTACAGCAGAAATAATAGAATTACAAATTTCCGATGAAGAATCGCAAGTCAGCATTACCGGCGGGGCAAGATGGCTGTTGGCAGTGCCAGTAAGGGGCACGTGGGTTTCCAGTAAAGCAATTTGTGGTCGCAGCGGGGTTAAATAAACACGGAAAAAAAACTTTAAATGGCTGAATGACAGTTCACATTCTTGGCAGCGGGATCATTAGTCATTTCAAGATGCGTTATCGTGACGTCTAGGTGTACTCTTAGCCGATGATTACATGGTAAACGGACAACGCCACAACGCGTATCGTGGCACACCAGATTCAATTAGGAATATTCCGAATAATTTCAATGACTTTGCATCGTTGATTTTCGATTGTCATTAATCATATTCTGTATTATACGTCTCTTCGCATTCAGTATAATTGATGCGGGGCGAAAGTTAATTTAATCAATTTATAATATTGTCGCAGAAGTTTTATTAATGAAAAATAGGTGGGATATTAAGGAATTAATTTAAAAAAAAAACTAAAATGAAAATAAACCAAAGAAAAAAATCCCCAGATCTCGGCAAGATATAAACCCGCGATATCTGCCTTGCTGTGCCTTTATCTTAAGCGTTCGACCATCAGAATATAAGACCATTGGAATCAAAAGATTAAAATACAGTCAAAATAGATTTATCAAGCGTCCCAGCGATTAAGAAAATGGCTCCAATTTTTCTTTGCTTTGTTTTTACTTTAGGATGTTCAGTAATTTTTTCAATAGTTTTCGGATATTTAACCAATAAAAATTCATCGCTATTTTTGTTTTCTACATATTCTTACAACCAACACCAAACAACTATTTGATTTCAAACTCCTTTTCCTCAACTCGTGGATTTTTCAGTCTATGGTTAATTAAACGACGGCATATCTTCAACCGGACCGAATTTGGCGAAAATAAAATTTCATCGGCGACGTCCATAAATCGCCATTTTTCATCCGCACGACGAATTAGGATCGTCGATGGTGAATTGTTTTATTCCCAATTTAATAGCCGCCTCTCTCTCTCTCGTTCGGTCCACGGTCCGTGTAGTTGTCACGTATACAAACCTTGCTCGAGGTTATTTAGCATGTGAATTTGTTTGTCACAAATTGCCTTCCCTATTGGTCTACATGCATTCCTGTCGACATTCGTTTTCCGCGAAATTTACGGCCTAATTATAAATCGTTGTCTGTATTTGCGATTCGCGTTATTTACTGCCGATGACTGCCCGCCATCCGGTACTGCCCGCATGCAGGATGACGCGCGGTTTATTTTCTAATGGAGCGGTTAACGCTTCAACCGCGAAGGTCCACCACTACCCTAAAACCTAATAATATATATCCAATATTATTAAAAAATGGACATATGACAAAAACTATAAATAGTTTGTCACTGTCATAGCTCCAACAGTAAAAGTTTTGGCGACAATTATAATAATCCAATTTCAATAAAACCAAGGCAACGTCTCAAAATAATAGAAATCATTATAAAAGACAAATTAAAGAGCTGTATGAAGCTGCATTCCCAAATTAAAAAAAAATAGTTTTAAAAGCATACTGATTAAAATAATAATAAGTTTTATTTAAATAAAAAAACAGCTAAATCGCAAGATCAAAAGAAAAATTAACAAATGGTCATGTGAGACCAATCCGGTCTTGCTCTAATTCCTTAAGTCCCTCTTTGCCTTATTTGAACCTATTTCGGCCTCCAGTTTACCGTTACCAATAAAATTCGATGACATAAGTAAACCTTCGACACCCTAATATGAGACCGAGAGTCGAAGTAAATTGTTTGTACAAAGAATAGTGTCACAACTCAAAAATTTACATTTTCGAGTATATGTATTGTGAAACTGTATAGGAAAGTTCGCATATTTTTATATGGAAAAAACGTCATGTTGCTAGTTCCAAAAATGACCGCTAGAAAGCAATTGTGTCGTTTTCTTCGTATTACAAAGTCGCAAGTTTATGATGATGAAGAGTAACACAAATCTAGTTGTGCTTAGATAGTCAATGATACAAAATCGTCAATTTTCGATGAAAGTGACATAAATAAAAATATGTCACTTTTATTAAAAATTAACTAAAAACATTATTTTCAACAGTGACACAAATAAAATTATGATATTATTGAAAAGGTCATTATCATTATGGTGTAAAATATGCTTTTCTAAAAGAACGTCATAACTCAAAATAGAGATGAAAAAATAATATTTTCCTAGAGTCAATTTTCGGCCATAGTGACATTAATCAAAATATGTCAGTTTTATTAGAAATAATCTAAAAACATTTTCAACGGTGACCCAAGAAAAATTACGGCATTGTTAAAAAGAGGCCATTATCATTAGGGTGTGAAATATACTTTCAAAAGAGATAAAAATATATTTTTAGACAGTCAATTTTTGGCTAGACTGACATAAAACAAATATGCCAGTTTTATTAAATATAAACTAAGGACATTAATTTCAAATTAGGACCGTATTGTCGAAAAGGTCATTATCATGAAGCGAAATATACTTTTTTGGAAGATCGTCATAACTCAAAATAGAGATGAAAATATAGTTTTATTAAATATAAACTAAGGACACTATTTTCAACAGTGACAAGTCAAATTCGGGCAGTATTGTCGATAATTATGGTGTGAAATATACTTTTCTAGAAAATCGTGATAACTCAAAAAATAGATGAAAATATATGTATTTTCCGACAGTCAATTTTCGGCTAGAATGACAAATCAAAATATGACATTTTTATTAAAAATAAACTAATAATATTATTTTCAATAGTGACACAAGTAAAATTGTGAAACTGGTGTTGAAAAGGTTAACAATATAGTGTGAAATATTATTTTCTGGAAGATCGTCATAACTCAAAAGGGGAATGAAAATATATTGAGTTTTTTTTTAATGTTATCTAATTAAACTTGTTATTGCTTGAATACAAGGTGAAACCTAATGAATGTTTATTCCCAAAAAAGATTTAAACATTTTTAAAATGTAAAATCATGACAAGCCTAAGGTCTAAAAAACAAAAATATATTTATATCCCCCTTTTGAGTTATGACGATATTCCAGAAAAGTATACTTCACACTTCAATGTCCTAAGTTAACTTGTTCACTGTTGAAAATAATGTTTAGTTTATTTTTAATGAAACTGGTATATTTTGATTTGCCACTCTAGCTGATATTAAACGATCTTGTATCATTGACTGTCATAGCACTAGATATGTGTCACATTTCATCATCATAAACTCACGTCTTTGTAGTAAGAGAAGAATTATTTTCAACTAGTGACATAAATCAAAATAGTGTGAAATATACTTTCTAGGAAATAAATAAAAATAAATAAAAATGAATAATAAAAATAATTAAAAACACAGTGAAACTTCTTACTCCCTGCTGAATCCCCCCTCCCCTTAACGGTAGGCGGGGGTGAAACATTTTTTTCATAAATCGAGTATTTTAAGATATTGGTTGAAAAAATAAGAATTTAAAGAGTAGGTACGTCAACCTTCTTCCCCACCCCCTTTTTTGGATACCTTTTGTGGGCTGTTAATGATTATCTTCGATCTAGTTCACGACAGGGTGCAAGCTGAGGTATATAGTAGAGCAATGGAGGTTACCCACACCCAACTCCTTTTTTAAGGGATCCAAGAGTATTCTCAAAATAAAAATTGTTTCATAAATGAAGGTTTTTGAATTGTGAGTTACTGTTATTTTATTAAATTTATTTGTTTATTTAATTATAAAGGTACTGAACTATGTTGTATTGTAAGTACACATAAAAGTTTATGGTAGCAGATACACAATGAACGTACAAGAAGAATGATTATGGTCGAATTTTGAGCACTGGGTGAACTTTTTTTATATAAATATGCTAAGTTTCACAGTTTAAGTCAGTTAAAGTTGAGATATCTTTCAGTTTATATTAATACTGTCAATATAAATTCTCCAACGTCAGGCAATAGGGACTTAAGTCAAAAAATTCTATTTTCCAGAAAATGTAAACTTGAGAGTTAGTATCAGGCACTATAAAAAAATTCTAAGTTACCAATTGATAGAGTGTAAAATTCTGATTTAAAACCTTATTTTATCTAAATTTTGCAAAATTGTGACTTAAGCCCTTTGTACTAAACTTAAAAGAGTTAGTATATAAGTAAATGTGCTAAAATTTTAGTGTAGTATTGTGTAAAAATAAATGAAGGTAGGTCATAAAATAGTGTAAATAAATAAAATAGTTTAAATAAATAAATGTTATCCTATTTAAGATATAAACTCACCCAATTGGGTCTTCTGTTCTCTTTTTCAGCTGACTTGGGTTGCCTGGGACTCAGCTCGTCCTCCACCGAGGCTAATCTATTAAATTTCTGTGTTCTCTCTTTAACGCTAACAGTTTTATCATCAAAATTAGCATCACCGTCGCTTTTTTTCGGTGTTGATTCCTCGCTGATCGATCTACTCTTTTCTGAATCTTTTCTTCTGTCTCTAGGAGGAGCCTAGAATCAAAATCATCAGCTATAATTTGAACATAGCTTAAAAGAAGAATCAACTAACCTGCGGAGTTAAAGCCAACTCGTTTAAAGAAACCATCGATCCTAAAGACAACGAATCCAAAGAAGTTGTGCTGCTGTAAACAGGAGGCGGCGGTCTGTAAGGAGGCGGTCTATTCCCAGCAAGTTGTGATTTAGGAGGTGTATTTTTAGCTGTTCCTCGTGGAGAAACCAAATTTAAATCGGTCGGCGTAACTGGAATTCCTATGGAGTTGATCGGATCCAGAGTAGGGGAATATACTTCTCTGTATGTAGCCGCTGGTGGATCATAACTGCTAAATTTTGCTTTGAGTTGGATAACCTTTTCATCTCCTTCAGATTTCGTTAGTGCCAACGTGTTGATGTAGGACTTGAAGCGACATCTATTTTCGTCTGAAAAAACACCGTTAGAAGTTATTTTATTATTATAAAATTCACTTATTTAATAATAAGTGATAGGAAAATTCCATAAAGCTTGCGGATATTTAAACAGAACAAAATATTATTAGGAATAGCGACCTTGAATAAAACTGAGAATTGTTTAATGGTTTATACAGGGTGAATCATAAATAATGGGTCAAATTATAACTGTACGTTCAGAAGGCAAAAATATTGATATTTTACCTAGTGATAGGTAATAAGTTTCTGAGCTATAAAATGTTAAAGTTGGGAAACTTAAATATATAAAAAAAATTGGAATCAACGATTTTTTTCTACATGCATGGCCTAAATTTAAAATTTTGTTTTCTTCTCTATAAATTTTGAAAAATTTTTGACTTGAACAGTCATAGTTCAAATGTGGGGCGTGGCATTTACACATTACATTTACAACGTAGGTACTCGTATAAAAATCTTACCCCCACTATCCCCACAAAAAATGAAGTTAGAACTTTTTAAATAAAACAGTTGAAATCTATCATTTTTTCTACTTACATACCCAAATTTTCTATTTTTTTTCTTCTTCTATATGGATTATAAATATTTGACACTATTAGTACTCCACTACCATTTTTGAAATGTTTGGAGGTGTTTTTAGAATCCCTTTTTGTATTAGTTTTTCAGGAAACACAGTTTACATTTTTAAATGCTTGCTTGTTCCATTTGAACTTTAAATTAAGTTAGTTGTTAATATAATAAATAAATATTAGGAATTTAGTTCATTATTTATTGAATATCCCAAAAGAATAATACAAAACATCTTTATTGTACAAAAAAAAACAAAAGTGTATATAGAAAGGATGGTACTTTCAACTTTATTAGGCACTTAAGACATGTAAACTCTCAAAAGGTACTGTGAAACAAAGATATTAAAAGGAAAATTTGAATTAGTCAATGCAAAGGACCAAAACATAATCAGTCGAAGGTTAACTATCACAGTATATGAAATAACTAGGTAGTCAACTGTAATAGGTATAAGTGATTTAAATGGCATTGCCTTTCACAAAGGGAAAAGAGCAACAAATTGTTAAAAAATGAATAATGGAACGAACCGACCTTGTTTATCGATGCAAACTTCTTTCGCAGTCAGGGTACAGGTACAAAAATGGCTAGTTCTTCTCACAGTTGATCAAATTGAAGAAACTGTAGAAACAGCATCTGCACATTATTTAAGAATGTAGGGGTTTCACAAGGTTCAATTCTAGTACCAATGTTATTCATTTAATATAGAATTTTACATTTAGTGCCACATTTAGGAAGACCTACATATTATAGGCAATTAAAATATAAACAAAATTTCGATTAAAACTTAAAATTTTTAAAGTTATAAGTGTTAGAAAAGCAAATAATCAAAAGAAAGCATTTTAAATATTTACTTAAATAAAATTATATTAATTATTAAAAGATAACATGTGTCAGTTTATAATTTAAGATGTAGTAAGCAGTAACAGTAACAATTTACTTTTTAGAAAACTTAACAAACCATGAAAATATACTTAAATTACTATATAAACAAACTGGCAATGATGAATTGAAATGAAGTTGAAAGGGTAGCAAATAATATAATCTCACTAAATAAGTAGCACATAAATCAGTAACAGAATCATTAATTTTACTTCCATTCACAAGTTTTAAAGTATGATCATACTCTCAGTTTCTAGGGTATTTAAAACTAATTTATTGATGCATTTATACACTTCCTCATAGCAAAATTAAATTTTCAATAATGTAAAATAATGATATATCATAATATTAAGGTACTCCTGATTCATTGAGAACAGCCTTAATTAACTACTAACACTAATATTGATTTTACCAACAAATTTTAACAAAAATATTAATTTTAATAATTTAAATTTTACGACAACCTTATGTTGTTCATAATAATTATTTGAAATACTTACAATTACTCATATATCTACTCACCAATCGGTAAAAATATATTTTTACAATCACATATAATAAGTTTAAAGCAATTTAAATCTAAAAGCAAATCTTACAATTTAATTTGAACTTCCGAGGCTCTTTGGATCCGCAGAACATGTTTTTTGTACTTTCTTGCAAGTTGAAATAGCAAAGACTATTTGGCTGTCACTAATTGAGCACAAATAACCAACGTTATAATGTACAAAGTAAAAATATTTGTGAGTTATTCGGAAAACGTTTGCATTAATCTCTTAGTCATATATGAGAAAAAACATTGGAATTTGGTATCAGAATCTACCTTATCAGTAAAACATGCACAATAAAACTATTTATTAAACTATTATGCAAGTATTTCAGCATAGTAAGTGGTCTTTTATCAAATTAATCACACTGTAAAGATACAATACCTGTAAAAATATTTTATAACCTCACTTTTAGTAATAATCTAAATTTTCTAATTAAATGGAGTTCCTTGCATTATTATTAGATCTGGATGACTTCAGTGGTACATTAGATTTGTTTCAGAATCTAGATACATTGTAATAAAGCATATTCTCTTGAGATATGTCCAAAAAAACTTCTTAAACATGCATGTAATTAACATTCAAGTTAGAGCTACTAACAGGATTATTTCTTCGCAACAAATTAATTATCATAATATAATTATACAGAAATTTAGATTATATTGTAAAATTACTTTAGGATAAGGCGAAAATTCTAATAAAATTAATCATATATTCCACAGGTTGTTGACATACAAAGGTAAACAAATAGAATTTCGTGATTAATTAAGTTTTAAGTTTAAGACACATACCTTTGGTTACTGTATCCGTTAAAAAAGATTTAAAATGTCTCACAACATCTCGATTTCGCACTTTACCACCGTTTTGAAGTAAATAAAGATGAATTTGTTCTAAAGTGAGAATATTATCTTCCATATTTTTTGGTTACTAAAGTTAGGGTTGCAGGTTGGCAAACATAATGGAGGTAAATTCACTAGTGTCAAATTGGGCTAGAAGATAGGCTGCCATTTTCTGTCCAGCTAATATAGTTTAAATTATTTATAGAATGTTTAAAAATATTAATTTCTGAAATCTATATCGTTATTTCAAGTAATTATTGGTAAGTGGTAAGGTAAATTTGTATTTTGATGGCAACCTCTATATATTTCTCGATTACCTCAACGGAAAATGTTGATATTAGCACTTATGACCAGCCCGAGTGGCTGCTGGCTGCGGCCAGTGCAACTTAAAACTTATCTGATCAAAATATGATATTACGTCGGTCTTGGGTCTTGGCCGAATGCCCGAACGGGAAATGCATTAATTACACATTTTGGGTGCCCGCGCGTAATCTACAGACGCATCTCGACCCCATACATGACACCTGCAATTAGTGACGGTTTGAAGGACCGCTAAACGATCAGCGCCCGTCCTTCTCTCTGTTTCAACAAAAAAAACTAATTGTGTTTTTGGTCATTTGCCACTTTAAATTGCCACTTTTGCTTATCAAACTGATGCTTTTTAATTAAGATACTGGATATTGCGCTATATGAATTGGCCTGGTGTACTCATTAAATCAATCAAAAGTAAAAAGTGCATTAAATGTTGCTGTCCAGGGACCGCTTTAACTCATTTTGTTAACACAGTTCTTTATTGGTAAATAGAAAGAGATGTTTTGTAACTTTTTGTTCGATTTCTGATCATTATAAAAAAAGAAACTTTCCTAGGGATAATATGAAATAGGGTAAATACAAAAAGGGAGAGGCTTGAAAAAAAAATGTAAAAATTACAAGACTTTATAAAAATGCTCAAATAAACAAAAACGATCGATATTAGAGTTAGAAATTTGTTATTTTCGATCTCCATTGAAGCAAGAAGATAATTTCCTACAATGTGAAAGATTGTCAAGATGGATTTCGAAAATTACACGACTTTTAAAAAATGCTTAGCAAGCAAAAACGGCTAAAGTTAGAAATTTGTTATTTTTACTATGGAAGACCGAAAAAATTAAATACTATAAAAATTAGTTTATTCTTATCCAAAAACCATTGAAGTTGTGGCAAGTCATTGGCCCTTTAACGAATGTGATAGCAAAGTATTTTGTAACGGTAAAATCGTTATGGCCCTCAAACAAACTAAGTGCCCTTTAATTTTAATTTTTCAATTGGAAGTTGATGGCTATTTAACTATTTTCCACATGCAACTGTAATTTCATTATGGCCCGTTTGAAATTTGTAATTACCCAATAAACACAATTAATCGGCACCGTAACTGGGCCGAAGGAACCTTGCCGAATGCCGGACTCGGCCCGATATACGGGTGCAGCTTCGGAATATAGTTAGGGCATGTTAGCCTAGCCGAATTTCGGCAGCCCACTAGGTATATTGAAGCCGCGTTCATATATCTATACAGGTTCGGCCCGTAAGAATGCCTCCCATGCCCGGCTAGGCAAATATGGACCGCTTTCGGCCCGGAAGGATGCATCCCACGTCCGGAAAGCTAAATATGGACCACATTCGGTTTCTACTTCCAAATTACGTCAAATAGTATGATCCTACCGGCTCAAAATAAACCCCGACAACGGCAATCCGAGTACTCGGCTTCCCGTACATGCCGGTGTCAGGCCGACTATTCTACAATACCAGGGATCTGAAAATCCTCAAAGGTGTGTCCCATTTTCAAGAAAGCAGATAGAAGAGATATTTCAAATTATCGACCTATCTCTATTATACGCAACGTTGCAAAGGTTTTTGAAATTCTGCTAGCCGTTACCCAATATATTACTGAATCTTTTGACAACAGACCCCAAACTGACATTTACACAGATTTTTCTAAGGCCTTCGACAGACTTGATCATGGCATTCTACTTAACAAACTTGTAGCTTTTGGATTATCTCCCTCTTTAATTTCACTGTTTCAATCCTAAATATGGGATCAATGGTTTTAGGTCTGCTGAATATAGTGCTTTATCCCGTGTTCCACAAGGGTCAAATCTGGAATCCCTCCTTATTGACTGCCCCTTATTAGGAAAGGTTATTATTTGCATTCCCAGAATTTCTTCCACACGCCCGAATACTTTTTATACAAATACATCTCGCACAAATATTCTGGAAAATTCTCATTAGGTAAGAACTGGATGCAGAACAACTGAAGATTACCTGATTAAAAATAAGACAATTACACGATGAAGTATGCTTAGATAAAATATTACTGGTTTCCGAAATAAAGTTAAAAATTAAAGATAAAGTTGAAAATTCAAAATTTATTAATGATTATATTTTTATTTCTAACTATAATTCTACTAAATTCGGTAAACATTGTTGGTGTCATAAAATACACCTATTAGCAAAACAATCAGTTAAGTAAACTTTACCAGTGGCGTAAAACACAGATAAGTAAAACTTTCAACTTTCATCCCCTCTTTACGGCACTCTTCAAAAACTTATTTGGACTATACTTTTATATTTTTTGATGTTGTACTTGTTGTATTTAAATTATGTACTCTTGTTGGGAATTCATAAAGTGATTGGTTTTCGAGATATTCACACTCTTCATTTGAAGTTTTTTTTTTATTTTGTAATTTTGATTTTTTTATAAAATTGCACTGAGCAAACGTTTTTGGTGCCATAAGATCAACAAAAAAATCAATTAAATAAACTTTGCCAGTGGCGTACTGCATGGGTAAGTAACACCTGCATTCCTTATAAATTTTACGCCACTCATCAAAAGCTTAAGTTTTTAATTTTTTTTAAATAAATCATGTTAAGAATTTATAAAAAAAAATCTAAAATTAAAAATTATATTAAAATGATGGATATCCACCTTTGAGTGTGAATATCTCGAAAACCAATCACCTTATGAGTTCCCAACAAGAGTACATGATTTATTTAAATAACATCAAAAAATATAAAAGTACAGTCCAAATAAATTTTTAAACAGTGCCATAAAATTTAGAGGGGATGAAAGATGAAAGTGTTACTTATCTGTGTTGTACGCCACTGGTAAAGTTTATTTAACTCATTGTTTTGCTGATAGGTGTATCTTATATAACATCAACAATATTTACCGAATTTAGTAAAATTACACTAAGAAATAAAAAAATTATAGCCATTAATAATTTTTTAATTTTCAACTTTAACACCTTATATTTTGAAAACCAGTAATATTTTTATTCAACTGTGCTCAAATAAATAAATGTTTATTATACCTGACTATAGCACCAGAAAGATATTTTTTTACATCATAATTATCTGGATAACTCAAAATCTACATTTTTTAAGTTCTAGTATTGTTTTAGCATAGCAATATAAACTCCAATAATAAACCTGAACATTGTGAGGAAGTAGTGACAGGATTGATTATTATACTTTTCTCGTCTAAATTTATTGAAATTGCATTTTTCTTTAATATTTTCTTCCCCTGAAGTGTGTAATAAAAATCTTCATCATATTAAACAATTTATTTTTTTTTAAACAAGAAAAGAAAACCTACAATAAAAAAGTAACAATAAACTTTAGGTACAAAGATGTGAAATTTCACTATTGTATTTCTTTCGTCTATATTTATATTTCTTTAGTTAGTTAGGGTTTTCTCTTATAAACGAATTGTGATTGGCTAAATAACACATATGTCCATTCCAAAAAACAAATTTTCCTTTCATTTTCTAATCATGTTCTCATTTTATTGAACAAATTTACCAATTGTTGTTGTCTTTACTTTTTTAAATAAATTTAATTATATCTTGCTTGGTAGTATTTTCTTTTGTTCAGCTTTATTTATGAATTCCCTATGTTTGCATTTTACATTTAGTTTTATTCCCCATATGCTTAAATTTTTCTAAATTTTGTAAATTATCCATTTAAATTTACCGCCATATCGAGTTAGTTCGTTGACCAGTCACTTGCAGCGCTATAACCATACGTTCGTATCTTTATCACTGAACTATATATTATACTAGAATGAAGATATTATATAATGCTTGGTAGGTATTTTTTAGTATCAATAGGCTACATCCCCTCATAAAGCTTGTTTTTTCCTGAAGATTTCAATTTGATACCGTTTCTTTTTTGGTCTTTGTCCCCTTATAGAGCTTGATTTTTGCTAAAAAATTTCAAGTTCATATCATTTTTCCTTTTTGAGTATATATGATTTTTTTTTATATTTCAACCCTCTTTATCCCCCCATTTTTATTCAGATTTTTTTAAGAATCGATAGGATTCATTCCCTTATGAAGCTTGATTTTCACTAAAAATTTCATGTTGATATCGCTTTTGGTTGTTTTATTTTGATTTTTTTTTATTTCATCTCCCCTTCAACTCCCATTTTATTCCGATATTTTCCAAAATCAGTAGGATTTAACATGTATAGAGCTTGATTTTTGTTAAAAATTTCAAGTTATTATTATTTTTCCTTTTTTAGTTAGGATTTTTTTTAATGTTTCAACCCCCCTTACCCCTATTTTTATTCAGATTTTTTTCAAAATCAATAGGCCTTGTCTCCTTATAGAGCTTGATTTTTCTGAAATTTTCTAATTGATGTCGTTTTCTGTTTTTAACTTATCGTGCAGACAAAAAACGTGACATCAGACGGACATATGGACGGACGAAGGCCTGCACAACTTAGTTTTTCTAAGGGCCAGATTCGACAAATCGTGACTGTACGAGGGCCGCCAAGATTCAGATTTCCAAAAAAAAAAAAAAAAAAAAAAGGTCGTCAGCCTAAATGCAAGTTTGTTAGTATAATTTGACGTAGGCGGGCCAAACTGCTCCCCTGCTCTACACAGACTACTGTGTGAAAAGTATAACAAAGCCACTGGTTGGACTTTTTTATGTCAATAAGTAATTAACCTTTGTTATAATCATTATCAAATGGATGAAGACGAACTTAATTGAGGTTTATTCCCCTTAATTTTACTTTTTCGACAAGAAAATGAGAAAGTTTAATTGCAAATTAGGAGTGATTGCCTAATGCATCGTCACTGATAATTGGGTTGTGATGGTATTTACTTATGATATAATCTTGAAGAAGCCTTTTCAACAGATCTTTTACACATAAAGCATGTTTTCACCATATTATTAGAGACAATAATTACAAAATTTAGCTCGAGGAAGAGGGGAAGACTCTCTCTATAGTAGTAATTGCTCAGAGATTTAAATAAACTTCTGTTTTTTTTTTTTAGATATTAATTTCATATTTTAATAAATATGCAACCAAAATAACATAAAACGATTATTTTAGATTATTTTTATAACTGAAATCGTAGTAATTGGCCAAAAACAATTATTTTATCTACATTATAATGGAGGAAAATGTTCAAACGATCCTCTTAATTATATAAAATCGCTATAGTGTGTTAATTAAACTCGTTCAGTCCTTATAGTAATTGGCCGACAAACAATTATACGACAAAAAATAATGATTATATTTATTTAGTGATTTGCACCATGCAATTTCTGTTATCTGTTATTATTTTGTTAGATAGAATTCATTTCGTGGCAATTCCATGTTATGTCGGTGCAAACACTGTGGATACAATTGGATATTGTTGCGGTTTCCAACTAATTAGCATTGTCTGTTACAAATATGTTTTAATACGGCTAATGAAGTAAAATCACGGCACCAACCGGAATAACATACGATGCTAATAAAGGTTTTTCATGTAGGAAAAATGTTATTGTTGTTCGTCTCGATTTTCGCACCTTATCACACCTTCAAAAAACAACGAATAATTTACCGTATTTCTGATATTTTTAGTCATTCATTGAACAAATTTACACCAATAATTTTAGACAATCTTATGTTACAAACATCATGCATGAATATAGTGAATAGAAGAGACCCTAAAATGGATCCCTGCGGATGTAGTCATAAATTAAAAATTTTTGCTACAAAATTATGTTTCAAGAAAGTATATAAATTTATAAAAAAAACATGTACTTAGGTAAGAAGATTTTTATCTGCTTTCATTTCCCATAAACATGCTGCCGATCTTTGTTTATAATCACTGTATATTTATCACATAAATTTTGCGAAAACTAATTACTCGAAAGGATGCTTCGATGCAACTCCATGATACGTATGTATATGATAATTTATTGTTATTTAAAAATTCGCTGACAAGTATATACCATCTTAATTATAACTTATATTTTGGCAATTTAAATTTCTGGCGTTTATATTGTTAACAAGTTATTTCCATAAATTCTTTTTGGCTTCTTTATTTATTTGGTAAAATATGAATTTTATGTTAATTGTCGATTAAACAGGAAGCCCGTGTAGGAGGAAGTCATAAGTTAAGCGTGCGAAAAGTTAACAAATTTCCTCTCGAATTTAAATAATGTAATGTAAAGATAAGATGTTCTTTCGAATATACCGATTACAGATAGTTTTTAACCAATATAAAAAAGTAGATACTTGAAAAGAGGACTTAATTAGGTCGTGGGCCGTAGACAAGAAATGAGTAGGTATTTAGCAGTGAATAAAAATTCACACATTTTTATTTAATAATTATAATAGCATAATGATTATGCCCAATCAAACATATAAAAATCAAGTTAATAAAAAAATATTAAATGAAAATTAATGAGAGTCTTGAGTTTGAAGCTGAATAAACAAGATGATCAATATTGGGGTCAATATCACTAGTACATAGGTGCAAAGTGTTTTCTAAATTAACATCTGTAAGCCGAGTACGATGCTTATTTTTATTAATTTTTATGATTGAAAAAAACTGCTCACGCTTATACGTGCTTCCAAATGTGCAAATTATTTTTCGTGCGAAAACTTTCAGCTGTGGATACTTTTATTTGGAAAGGTATGTTCTTTAAAATTCGCTTAGTTCCCCATCATTAAATTTAGTCTTCAAACATGAGTCTTCTTGAAGTTCGATCAACTCCATTTGTAGGTGAAGTAGAGCATCTTTCACATTACACTATTTGTAAAAATATTGAAAGTGCTATCAATATTTTTAAAATCGGAAAATGGACCAGTAAATTGCTCGGACAGTAATTTTAATTCTTCAGCAGAACGACCGTATTCAATGTTTTAGTGACTGGATAAATGAAAATAGTTTTTACTTCTCATTTGTGTTTCTTACAAGCTAATTTTGTTTTGAACATGACTGTACAGCTGATTTATTAATTGCCCTTGTTTTTAGAGCTTCAAGTTCAGGTCGTTTAAGTGTCCTGTGATGCCTACCAGGAATGCCAAGTCACAAATTTGCGGCAATGTGTTCTCTTTCATTTCCATAAAATCAAGTATTTCTTTTCTAAGGTCATAAAATCTTTTTATCATTTTACATTTGCTTAGTCACCTTACTTTGCAATAATATATAATAATAATGTTTATTTTCTGTTAAGAAAAAACAAATACAATATAAAGATATATAACAAAATATTTAACACAATAAATAAACAGGTTAAAGCACAGAAACAGTAGAAATACAGCTTATACGTGTTGTTAAATTAACATTGAATTTTAATCCAGTATACCTACCTGTTATACCTACATAATTACAAACAAAAATATAAATCTAAATATTATTTATATGTCCATACCAGGAATAGAAAAATATGGAGAAATACAAAATCAGGAAAAAAGTCAAAATAGGATATATACAGAGTGTTTCATAATATATGCGCAGGACTTCAGAAAGTGATAGCTCGTCCAAAAATATGAAAAAAACGTTTTTATTAACTTACCCTCTAAAATGCACCATTTTCGAGATACAGGGTGTTGAAATTGAAAAAAAAATGTCTACGCCACTGGAAAAAGTACGGTTTTGAGACGCCCATTTGAACCGCCAATGTTTTCTACACAAAAAAGGTATTCTTGGTCATACGCTCTAAAGTCGACCGTTTGCGAGAAAAATCAAATTTTAATGTTGTTTTGAAATTTAAAACCTACTTGATGAAACAAAATTTGTTTTGTTTCATAGGTAGGTTATTTTTTGAAATTTTAATATTACCTTTTTTGATTTTTGATAGTAGGTATTTCTAAACAAAACAATTTCCTAGTATCAAGTACACCATAATCTTGGTACAGACTATCACTTGAATACAAACGAGGTTTATTGTAAATAAGTTTAAGTATCCATTTTTGCAATAGGTTTAGATGTTCAAGATAATGATCACTCACCCATGCCATATGTACTAGTCCGTAATATATTGTTTTTAAAATGTTTAATATCAAGATATTCCTTTAGATTCCTGAAGCTAAATAGTAAGCCTCTTAGTTTTTGAACTATGGATGTTATTATGTAAATCCCATCTAAGGTGTCGATCGATAGACCCTAGTATTTGATTGAGGTAGATTCTGGAATTTCTATTCTACTTGACACTTTTAGTGGTTCAAAATTGGGAAGTCTAGTTAGATAGGAAGAAAATGGTAAATATTTAGTTTTTTCATAGTTTAATGTTGTTTTATTTTTAAACCAGTTGATTAAATTCTTGAAGTAATGTTCTGCTTTTAATTTGAGATCCCTCCAAGAGTCGGCAATAATATGTCACATCATCGTGTTCTAAAGAAAGTTCATCCAAAAATGCTTTAAACTGGCGATGGTTAACCTTATGAAATTAATCATATCCACAACATTCTTCAATCGAATGGAGCAAAAATTTTGTTGGTAAATAATGTAATGCAGAATTATTAAATCACATTCTTGCACATTCATAGCGGTGTTATTATTTCCTTCAGAATTCCGATAAAACCTTTTCGTGAACCGACCATTGAAGGCGCACCATCCGTGCACACTCCAACTAATTTACACCACTGCAAACTATATTGCTCAAAAGTACTTTGCACCTCGGCAAAAATATCTTTTCCAGTAGTGGCCTCTTGAAGCGGCCGTAAAGCCAGTAATTCCTCTTTCACTGCAGCTTCTTCATAAACGCCTCGTATAAAAATAGCTAACTCGGCTGTGTCAGATAAATCTGTACTCTTATCCAAAGCAATCGAAAATGCTTGAAAACCAGCTAATGTATCAGTCAAGGTTTTTTTGATATCACTAGCCATCATATCTATAAGTCGAACAACAGTACGTCGTGATGAGTTCACTTTCTAAAACTCTTTCTTCTTTTTCTAGGCACAAAAGTTCTGCAACGTCTACTAGGCACTCTTTAACAAACTGTCCCTCAGAAAATTACTTCGATGTTTTCGCTATTTTGGAACTAATTATAAAACTAGCTTTTACAACACTGTCTAGATTTGATCATTGTGAATGGAACATTTGTTGCCGTTTCCCTAAATTGGTAATGAGTTTTTAATTTTATCCTTTCTTAACTGGCCCATGAGTGAATTATATTTAGTCTGGTTCACAAGTGCCATTTCCCTCGAAACCTGTCCTCCAGCAGCGAAAATTATGATTATGGGCTCATTTGATTCGGAATGGCATCTAGAACATTCTATCAAAATTCCAAGAGGGGCTGAAAAAAAAATGCAAAAGTTATAAACAATAAAGTAAAATAAAAAGGGTTTGGTTTTTTTGAAATATTTCAAAAACTATTTGAGATAATCGAAATTTGAAAAAAGATCCTTAAAGAGCAGAAAATTTCCTAAAAAAGGTCCTACCTCCCGGAACTGTACCAACAACCCTTATAATTTTAATTAAGCGGCGAAAATAACGGTAAAAACGCGTGGTTCGGCTGCCGCGCGCATCGCCCCAATCTGACACATTAACTAAAAAAATTATTTTAACTGATTAAATATTAATATTAAGGAATAAAAAAATTTGTGTACTAAGTAGACATATAAATAAACAAAAATCCGTAAACAAAAAATTTTTCTCACTATTTTTTTATTAGTTATGCTTTTGTTAATTAGTTAATTTTCACCATTTTAATGTTAACATAAAAAAGCTGATTATTTCAAAACAAGAAATCTAGAATTTTTTTTGATATTTTTGAGCTATTGTTAAAAGGGTTTAGAAGATATCCCCGTTAGAAATATTCAAAAGTTTTGATTTTTCACTTTTTTATTAACAATCAAAGGCATTAAAAAATTATATATATATATGTTATATATATTATATAACAATTTGTTATAAACAAATGCACTTTTTCGCAATATTTTTTTTAAATACTAAAAAATATTACAAAAACAACCATATATATTTTTTTATTGAAAAATTTTTTTTATTATTTTTTATTTAACTTTTAAAAATATTGTACTAGATAATTTTTTAATGCCTTTGATTGTTAATAAAAAAGTTAAAAATCAAAATTTTTGAATTTTTCCGACGGGGATCTCTTCTAAACCCTTTTAACAATAGCTCAAAAAAATCAAAAAAAATTCTAGATTTCTTGTTTTGAAATAATCAGCGTTTTTATGTTAACTTAAAATGGTGAAAATTAACTAATTAACAAAAGCATAATTAATAAAAAAATAGTGAGAAAAATTTTTTGTTTACGGGTTATTGTTTATTCATATGTCTACTTAGTACATAAATTTTTTTATTCCTTAATATTAATATTTAATCAGTTAAAATAATTTTTTTAGTTCATGTGTCAGATTGGGGCGATGCGCGCGGCAGCTGAACCACGCGTTTTTACCGTTATTTTCGCCGCTTAATTAAAATTATAAGGGTTGTTGGTACAGTTCCGGGAGGTAGGACTTTTTTTTAGGAAATTTCCTGCTCTTTAAGGATCTTTTGTCAAATTTCAAATATCTCAAATAGGTTTTGAAATATTTCAAAAAAACCAAACTCTAATTTTTATTTTACTTTATTGTTTATAACTTTTGCATTTTTTTTCAGCCCCTCTTGGAATTTTGATAGAATGTTCTAGATGCCATTCCGAATCGAATGAGCCCATAATCATAATTTTCGGTGCTGGAGGACAGGTTTCGAGGGAAATGGCATTTTTATTTCAGTTTACCCCTTAATCCTTTCTCTAAACACTTTTTATTTGTTTCCTAAAAATTAAGTAGTAATTTTATTTCAATACACCGTTTACTTCACAAAAAAATACATTTTGACGACACTGGTAATTCGGGTGTTTCCGGTAAACGGGCTGCTGGAAAGTGGCTGCTAACTTCACACCGTTAAAACAACAGACAATGAATTAGAAAATATTTATCTATTTTATTGAAAATAACTTATCAAACCTAGTCAAACCCATACATAATTTACAACTTCTTTAAACTCTCAAATATGTACAAGAAGAAGTGACAAGTGACAATTTTTTCTGTCATGTTTTATTATGACTTATGCCAAACGAACGTTGCATTTACGTTGTATAGTATTGTTTTTAGGCTCCCTTAAACAATATCGCCGCATATGCTAGCTGGGATACATCCTCTGAGATTTAAAAAGGATTTTGCTTACTATTCAAAATTAACCTCCTCTCACACATGTCCTACCCCATTATCAATGCATTTTTATCTCTTTCTTACAATTTGTCTTACTTTTAGTTAAGTTAGGGAGTCATGGAAAAATTTTAATTCAAAGACGGTGTTGCAACGAGTGGTACAAGATTTCAAAAAATTATTTTTGCGAGTTATTGTAATTCTATTATAATTTTACGTTAAAAAAAATTCGTTTTGAAACTGTTAAATCAAAAAAGAAAGAAATAAATCTAGTACCAAAACAACGTTATTCATTCATCCACGTATCTCCTGGTTCATTTAAATCCATGTATTTCTAATATAATGAAGAAAAAAGAAGATGCGTGGAAAAAGAAACGACTTTCGAGAGCGGTGGTACAAGCTCTGAGTGGGTGATGGTACATACGGGCTTTACGAAAAAGAAAAGGCTCCAAGTCTGAACACAAACAATTTATTGTACAATTAAGATCTTTTTAGATATTCAACGTGTGTCAATTGGATATAAAAATCTGTTAAAGAGTGTATTTCACTTTTTTTATAATTAATCTCTGTATTTCATTCCGTCGGGATATATCACGAAAATGTTTTTTTTTGTAATTTTATAGTAAATTCTGCTTTAGTTTATTCTATTTTTAAATAATTTGGTTTAAAACTGGCGTAAAACCTGTGAGTTATCCTTTAATGTATAGATTTTCAGATAGTGACAGATTTAGGTGCCTCATTTTCGCATTCAAGCCTCAAAGAGGATTGAAAAGTACATGGATTTAGAGTAGAATGAAAGGAAATTCACGAGTTGCTTCTGGGGATAACATATAGAAAATTCGATTGTTCTTAACATAAATTAAAAGGTATTCGTTGCCCATATTTTCACGCAAGCCGGGTTCACTAAATGATTCGAGGCTTGTATGTGAAAATGGGGCACCTAAAGCTATTACTATCTGACGGTCTATAAATGTTTTGAAATAGATTAATAAACTAACTAGAGAAAATTTTCAAAGAAATCCTACTGATAGAGAAAATTGCACTTTCAAATTAATAAGAACAACTATAAATACATTTCAGAGTTTTCGTAACAAAGTTTGAGAGTGTTTTCATTATTCATTTAAATAAAACTATACCCTATTTGAGACTATGGATATAGGTACGAAATTATGAACACGAAAAGTACTCGTATACTTTATACAATAAGTTGAACAAAGTTCAATGGGAACATACACATAACAGAGAGAGGGGTCTATTCTGTAACAATTCCTTTATATTTAACGGCCTTTAAAAATAGTTTCTTCTTTACTTCTGTCATTATTTAAACGGATCTTTAAAATACATTAGAGTACCTACTATCTTAAAGAAATCTGTTTAAATAATGACATAAGTAAATTAACGAATACAAATATACTTTTAAAGGCCGCCAATATTTTTAAAAGCCGTTAAATATAAAGGAATTTTTACAGAATAGACCCCAGAGACTGCTATCAGCGAGCATCGATATGACTTCGACTTCTGCTCGGCCCACTAGTTACATTAGACCAGTGGTTCTCAAACTTTTTTTGTGACAGAACCTTTTTGAAAAGTGAATTATTTGAGGGAGCCCTAAACACATTTCGGAAAAAATGTCCTTCTTGCTCTAGCCTCTTGCCAGGTCCCTCCCGTTTCTTTGCGGAGCCGCTACAGCAAAATTCTCAAAAATCATATGCGCCAAAAATATCAAAATCTACTCTTTCCTCTTCCTGACTTCTAAAATTCTTCGCGGAGCCCCCACAAAGGCTTTGCGAAGCCCCAGGGTTCCGCGGACCACACTTTGAGTAACGGTGCATTAGACCAAGGATACTTGACTCTCTATATCCATATATATTCATCGTGTATCATTGGAAATATTCGGAAAAATGACGCAGTTGCCGAACCATCAAATGCGCGAATTTAAAAATAAACACGATTATAAACTGTTCTGGCTTATATTTCGTGTAAAATAAGAATAGCAATAGTGAATGTCATATAATAAACGCTTTTCTTAAAAATAAACCGTTTAAAGTAGGTACCTATTTCGAAAAAATCTTTTTTATGTGACGCGAAAAAAGTTTGACATTTTATCTCTCTTGTCAGGTATCAAAATGCCACTTTTTATGAAATTGCTTTTTCCCGTTTCCCGGGAAAAAAGTGTTTCCCCTGAAAAAGTGAGTACTTTTTATAAACATATAAACATAAATAAAGGTAGATATTTTAGAATATTTTTTCAATATTAAATCATTTTTCCCATCAAAGAAAAAAATTGTGTTTTATACACGGGAAAAATATTAGCTTTTAGCTCTCGGTTTTTTGTCTCCCTCCTCTACGCGTCGGAAGATAACATAACCTTAAGCTAAAATCTAATAATTTTTTCCCTTTGTATAATAAATAACTATTATTATAAGAATTCACGTAACAACAATACATAGGTATATTTGCTTTCAACGACCACGTTACAATACATGCAATTGTGGGAGGTGATGGCACAATATTTTTCAGAACATTTCTAATAGCACACATATTTATATAGAAACAATTAATCATATCTTTATTAAATCGCCAATGAAATACCTACATATATACGAAAAATACAAGTATCACAAATTGAAAACAATAATTTTTATTGATCCTTTATGTACAGAACAAGTCAAAATATTTGAATACAAAAATAAATATACAAACAAAGAAACAAA